GGGAGGAAAAGGAGGAGGAATCCTGGATGAGCAAAATGATGGATCTCCATCAAAGCGAGGAGGACCTCAGTGAAGCTGGAGAGTCTACCTCTCAGTTCTCCATGGTGTCTCCTGATGGTCCTTCTACAAGACGAGCAGCTCTTTTGAGTGTGTTTCCTGACACTCATGATGCTGCCGCTCTGCCTGGAGCATGTGCTTCATCTAATGAGGAATACTCCCGCTGCTCTCCAGATCGTCCTACTATCAGACGGAAGGTTGCTTGGGAGGAGGAGGAGGATGAGAAAGAGGAGAAATATTCATCAAATGACGTAATGGAGGAGGAGAAGGACGTCATTGAAGCTGGAGACTTTGCCGGACAAGAGTCGACCGCTCAGTTCTCCATGGCGTCTCCAGTTATTCAGCACAAGAAGCCAAAGTTCAGAAAAGTGGCACAGCTTCTGTCTCTGTGGGCCGAGGAGAAGGCAAAGAAAAAGGCGGAGAGGAAACTCCAGAAGAAGAAGGTGAAGAGAGATATAGAATACTACACGATAATAGCTACACGATTGATCTGAAACTGAAGCAACTGTGGATCAGCAAACACAACCAAAAGCAACCACAACCAGATCAGCAAACACAACCAGATCTACAGTTGAGCCCTCTCCTACATCTCCAACTCCCCCTGAACCCACTGCACATTCCTCCTGTAAATAAAACTGTGCAAATGCTGAATGATCTCTGAGTGTTATTGACTGTTATAAGCATGGTTCGTCTTATACACACATAATAATTTTTGATTTTACATAAGTAATGTAGAAATAAAGACATGACCTGTTTTATGGGCTGTAATAATGAAAAATATTTCAAAGCAAAACCAGTTAAAATAATACAAGTGAATGACAAAATCACTAAACAAATCCATAAATTGATGTAGTTCATTCAGAATATTCTTTAAAGTACGATAATTAAAATAATAAAAATGAATGACAAAAATAATAAATGAATCTATAAATTGAGGTCGTTCATTCAGAATATTAAAGTATAATAATAATCAAACAGTGATAATATCAAAGTAAATAAACATGTAATTTGCAGGAAAAATGATAAACCCATTAAACTGATGAAAGTGAATGACAAAATGAGTAAATTTATCTATAAATTGATGTAGTTCATTCATAATATTATTTATAAAGTACGATATTATATATATATAAATACACAGTTGAAGCCAAATGTGTTCATACATTATAAAAAGGTACATAACCATTTTAAAAATTCAGATTTTAATGTCACTAAACTTTTTCTCTTTTAGGTAAATTAGGATTATCAAATTGGTTTCTGTTATGCTTACTAGCAGAATAATGAGAGAGATATTCAAGAAATTGTTATAGCTTTTCTTGAAAGTCAAGTTTATATACAATGAGATTATTCTGCCTCTGAAAAAGCTCAGATGATGATGTCAAGGTTTTGGATGTTTCTGATTGGCTAATTATCAACATTTGAGTTAATTGGAGGCTCAACTATAGAATAGTATTTAAGGAAAACCTCAAACACACTGCTTCCTTTTGTGACAACATGGGAAAATCAACAAGCCAGAATCAACAAAAAAGCCAGATTAAAATTTGCTAAATTACACTGGGGAACAGACTAATTTTTGGAGACATGTCCTGTGATCTGATGGAACTAATATTGAACTGTTTGGCCATAATAATGACCAGTGTTACATTTGGAGGACAAAGGGGAAAGCTTAACAGCCTAGGAACACCATACCAACTGTGAAGTATGTGGGCAGCATCATGTTGTGGGGCTGTTTTGCTGCAGGAGAGACTGGTCCACTTCACAGCACAGATAGCATCATGAAGAAAGAACGTTATGTAGAAATACTGAAGCAACATCTCAAGACATCAGCCAGGAAATTAAAACATGGCCACAAATAGGTCTTCCAGACAGACCATGACTCTAAGCATACTGCCAAATTAGTTCAAATGTGCTTTAAGGACAACAGAGTGAATGTTTTGGGGTGGCCATCACAAAGCCCTGATCTTAACCTTATAAAATTTGTGGGCAGAGTTGAAAAAGCTTGTGCGAGCAAGACAGCCAACAAATCTGACTAACTTACACCAATTCTGTTAGGAGGAATGGACCAAAATTCCTTCAAACTATTGTGAGAAGCTTGTAGAAGGATACTCAAAACATTTGACCAAAATTATACAATTTAAAAGCAAAGCTAAAAAAAATACCAAGGAAATGTATGCAAACTTTTAACTGTCTAGAAATTAATAAAACTATTCTCTAATTATTCAAGCTTTTAGGTAATCCTAACGGATTTGAAATAGTAAACGTTTAGTATGATTAATCATCAGACATTAAAAAAAAAATGGTTTTGTTCCTTTTTTTTAGAGTGTATGTAAACTTCTGGTTTCAACTGTATATGTGGAATTTTATCCGTTTTCATGACTCATTGTCAATTTGGCAATCTCAGAATTATGAGAAAATGTAAAAACTGGGACGTACATATTCCACTTGAGTGGCATAGGGGCGCAGCGGGTAGCGTTGTTGCCTCGCAGAAAGAAAGTCGCTGGTTCGAGCCTTGGCTAGGTCAGTTAGCATTTCTGTGTGAAGTTTGCTGTTCTCCCCCTGTTGGCGTGGGTTTCCTCTGGGTGCTCCGGTTTCCCCCACAGTCCAAAGACATGCGGTACGGGTGAATTGGGTAGGCTAACTTATCTGTAGTGTATGAGTGTGAATGAGTGTGTATGGGTTTCCCAGTTATGGGTTGCGGCTGGAAGGGAATCCGCTGCGCAAAAACATATGCTGGATAAGTTGGTGGTTCATT